TTCTCCGCATGGGCTGATTCTCTCGGTCTCACATTAAATATTGAAAAGTGCCGGTCCATGACATTCACAAGAAGTCGCTCTCCTATTACTCATATTTACTCATTCAATGGCACTAATTTGATTCCAGTTGACTCTAGCACCTGTGATCTTGGTTTTACTTTTACTCCCTCTCTTTGTCCTAAAGCTCACATAGACAGAGTTACATGCAAAGCATTTAAGGTATTGGGTTTCGTCAAAAGAATATCTAGTGACTTTAAGCTTTCCGCTTCCCTCAAAGCTATATACTTGTACGTCCAATCGTTGAATACGGCTCAGTTGTATGGGATCCCCAATCAACTGATGCTTGTTTTCAACTAGAAAGGGTTCAGCGAAAATTTTTATGTTACATGAAACATTCTCTTAACGTAAACTGCACCCCTCACGATTACACTCCTCTTCTCTGTTTGCTTAACTTATCCTCCCTAGCTGACCGTCGTCATTTCAATAATCTCACATTCCTTAACAAACTCTTAACAGGCTTGGTCGATTCCCCATCTCTTCTTTCTCTCATTAACATTAGAGTTCCTGTTAGGTCCACCCGCAATAATCATCCTTTCTTTATACCTTTCTGCACTAGAAACTATCTAAAAAATGAACCTATTACGAGATTAATGAAATTAGCCAATGAGGATCCGTTGTTCCTTGAATAGTTTTATTTTTGTATTCATTGTTTAGTTTAATTTATATTTTATACGTTGTTATATTATTCATGTTACGTTATTGTATGATTGTATTGTTCACCTAATAATTTTAACCTGGGCTCACGCCCGTTTATTCATTAAATAAATAAATAAATAAAATAAATATCTAACAATAATTTAATTTAGCTCAATATCCAATACATAGGTACTAAAAGCTGGGTAAGTTTATGGTTATATGGTATCTCCTGAATGACAAATGTGTCCCAAGTTTTATAATGTGTTTTTAGTTTGGATTGTAGAAATAACAAACATTGATCACCTTATATTTTTTATTTACTAGTTACCTATTCTGTTAACTTAAGTAACGTACTTATTTTATTTCTATACTATGAATATATCATCATTATTTAAAGTACCTATAAAAGTGAAAATATTAATTCACAATTATCATTAATATACTCTAAATTAAATAATAACCTAACATTACATTTGCACATAAAGTATACTTTCTATCTAGATTAATATTCATGTTAAATAATAGTAACTAAAATGTAACAAAATATAATATAAAACCAACATACGGGTTGAATTGTCTGATATATTTGATTTTGATGGTGTGTTTGAATATCTTGGTGCATCAAGAGAAATATCATCTTCATTGGATACTTCAACGCTATCAACTAAGGGCTGGTCAATTTTTTCTTCAGTATTATCTAAAAATATAATACAATTTAATAAATGTATGAATTATGATGAATGACAATTAAACATTTTAAATTAACTCACCAAACTCTGTAGGTGTTGCTGTTGGTAATAATCTTGTCTTCTCATGATCACAGTATGAACTAGCAACAAAATGTTTGCTACATAACCGATTACTTTTTTATAAATATAATCTTCCGACTGGCCGCAAAGATCATTTAATTTACAATTTTTCAACCACTGGTTACAACTACAATAATAGTAAAATATAATTAACATTGACTTGAAAACTTTTATACTAAAAAAATATTATTTATACATACCAGGATATATCTTTTGGAAACCTATGTAATTGACAGTCGCTTTGTTTAGTCTTCCTTTTGGAGTTAACACAATTTTTAACAGCGCACACAAGCACCATTGTTTAAGGTAATTGAATATAACAAAATAATACAATCAAAACACTAAAATTGGGACTCGGAAAATCGAAACAGTCAGAACAAAACGAATAACGAATCATTTCGGATCTGTCTATACGCAGTCGATTAGACCACCACCGTCGTTATCATTTTGTTATTATCAAAAACAAAGTTGTTATCATATCGTATCATCCATTATAATAAATACACACATTACATTATTTCATATAATATAATATAATAACATATTATTATATAAATTTTATAATAAATCTTTTATTTTATAATATAGGCACCTATACTTAACTGCTAGTAGAATTTGATGCATATTTTGCATATACAGCAATTGCAATTTTCTTAACACATGTAATCTATATTACAATATGGCCATTACTTCTGGCCATAGAAATGGAACTATTTAAAATAGTTAATATTTAGTATTAACTATTTAATATGTTATTAATAAACTGAAATAGAACATTAATATAAATATAGTATCTTAAAAAATTTAAAAATTTAATAAAGGTGCTTAAACAATACAGTAATCAGTGTAAAGTCCTACTATTATGGTAGTAAAAATTATTAATTAATAATTATACTACTATTTGCAAATTAAATATTTATCTTACCTCAATAGTCAAATAATAATCTCAATTTTTCATGATCAAAGTAAAGTTATTATTTACTAGTTAACTCTTTAGTTTAAGTACCTTCTAAAAACTTCTAACACTATTAAAATTATTTTTGGTTAACTGCGATTATTTAATAATCATTGCGTGATCTGTGTACCAAAAAAAAAATATATATATATATTATTGAAGATAACTTGATATGAATGGGTTATTCCACTTTAATACTATTTGTACCTATATAACATACATATATATTTTATGAAACTCTTTTAGTGTTTTGACTAAATCATTTTTTCAATCAATTTTTTTGTGTTGAATTATCTTCGGTGCGGTTTTTTTTAATTATTATTTTTATGAAAATGGAAGACAATACATATTTTAACGGTCTGAAAAATTTCATAGACAGCTCAAGCATAGTGAATAATATTTCTATTCAAGGAGAAACCAGTGACTTGAATGTGTTTACTAAACGTCTGTTAGAATTAGGTTTTGGATATGTTGTGGCAAAGTCTATAAAATATGAAGGTAATTTATTAAAAAAGTCTGAATGTTAAAATAGTTATTTAATGAATTTCAAAATATGAACCAAAAATATAAAATGTGTTGACAGGAGAAAAATCTAAGTACAAATTTTCCCTTGAGCGTGGAGAATTGCCAATTAAATTTATGGGCTGTCCATTTTTAATTAAACAGCACATTTATTTTGAATGTATAAATGGACCTCACCACAAATTGAAGGACAATACAGATGTAACAACACTACTTTAATACATTTCTAAAATCAAATATCTTACTTAGAAATTAACATTATTTTTTTTACTTTTTTGGCGTTTATAGAATGATCATCCTACTTATGTTAAAAAAAGATTTTCTCTAAATAGAACAAAAAAATTTAACTGCCCAGCAACTATGGTAGTTATAAAATTATTATATTTCCCTGATTTTACAATTGTAGAAAGCTCATCATCTAATTGGAGATCTAAAAAACAGGTACCTAAAAAATAAAAATGAGAAATTAGTATAACTTACTATACTGAAACCTTTAGCCTATTTAAAACGTATTTTATTGAAGTACCTACAAGACATGGTAATATTAATTTATAATAGAAAAGTTAAAAAATGAGTTGAAAGTAGAAAATGTACAAAAAAATGCCAAAGAAAAATACTTACTACTTCTGTCACTTCCTTCAGTACACAATCGTCAATCATGCAATAGAAACATCTCTTTTAAATCTACCTATTGATAGTTCAGTATTAAAAGAAGTTTCCCGATTGGTGAATAATGGGTTTTCTAATATTAAGATTGTATCATCTATGCTGAAGGACTTTGTTGAAAGAACTTGTACAACTTCACCCTCTCCAATATCTCGAGCATTTTATCCTGATGAAAAAACATTAAGAAATTATATTATTAAATTTACTTATGAAAAACACCAAAGTAAAATTGATCAACATACTCCTGGCTGTTAAAATTGAACAATGGACAAAATCTAATTTCTAATATTATACCTACATTTTTACATGGAAGACCTGAACCATTTGTCAAGCATATTTATAATAGACATTCTACTGCTCAAAATATATATTCTGAAAATAAAATAAAAAAGTTAGAATTGAAACATACATTTAATGTAAAGAGTGAAGATGGAACTTGTGCTTACACAATTAATTTCCAAATACCAAATTGTACATGTATTGATTATATTAAGTTCCATTGGCCATGTAAACATATATGTGCAATATTTCTTTAAATTCCAGAGTATTCTTTTGATGATTTACCTGAACATTTTTTAAATAATCCGTTCATATCTGCTGATCCTCATTATTCTATAAAAAATGTACACAGTAAGAAAATATTAACAAAATCACCTGTTAATGTATTGGAAAAAGAAAATGCTTTACAATTGCATGATATAGATATAGACAACAGTAGAAATGACCAACATAGTACAATTCCAGACAATGAAAAGCAACAGAATCTTCAAGAACAAATTCGAGAAACTCTAAAAAAGATGATAGATTTAACATACATAGTTAATACAAATGACCATTCAAAAGAATTATCTGAACAGCTTAAGATTTTAAATGGTGTTCATTCGAAAGTGAATTCTATGATAAATAAAGAAAATGGTTTATTATTGTTACTTTCAAAGCGTTCATCTGAACAATTATTAGACATACCAAAATCCCACAAAAAAAAGAAACTTCCGTAAAATGTATTATTATTAATTTTTTTATTGACTTACATTTTTATCTAATGGCAATTTTTATTATATTACCTAATTATACACTTTTAAATTGATTATAATTGTTTAAAGATATTTATTATTTATGTGAGTATTTTATATAATTTTTATAATTAAGTGAAATTTTTATGAACAAAGCATGAATGTATTAGTTTTACAATGATATATTTGTTTTCATCTTGTAATAAATACTTTAAAAAATAATGAAAAATACATGTAGATTGTAGGTACTTAATACTTACTATGTTTTACACTAAACACGTGTAATTAGCATAAAATAAATTATTAAATTTTGATTTCTTATTAATTAATATATGTATTTATTATAATGGATGATACGATATGATAACAACTTTGTTTTTGATAATAACAAAATGATAACGACGGTGGTGGTCTAATCGACTGCGTATAGACAGACCCGTGGTGGTCTAATCGACTGCGTATAGACAGACCCGTGGTGGTCTAATCGGGTCTGGGTCGAAATCCCGACAATTATAATCCCGACATGTAAAATCCCGACATACCAAATCCAGACAAATCACAATACCGACAGTTTAAAATCCCGACAAGTCACAGTACCGACTGTTTAAAATCCCGACAAATCATAATACCGACATGTAAAATCCCGACCAAACATATTTACATAATATTATCATGTTCATTATTCAACAATTTCATTTAAAAACTCAAACAATACATTACACTACAATTACATTATATTTATACTATTAATACTTATAAAACTACATCGATATATTATGAGCCAAACCCCGTAAAAATTCTAAGACACTCCTATTTGATATATCTTTATATACCGTCATTATTCTTTTCTCTCTGTCAATTATTTGTTTTTTCTGTTTCGGTTTTGGTTCTCCACGATTAATGCATTCAATTTCCAAGTCAACTCGTTGTTGTTCTTTCTGAAGCTCCTCTATCATTGTATAGACTCCAACATGAGGTTTACCAACCAAAGTTGACCAACGTCGATGCCAAGCTTCGACAATATTTTGTGTCCTAGGAATTCCGTGGTCCATTAATTCTGACACAGACCAAAGTTTGGGCGGAAAAAGTGGGTCTGTGCGTATAATATTACCATTTCTTTGGTTTCGGCGACGAATCCGGCCATGTACATAATTGTCTTCAAACCATTGGACAACTTCTTCAGCTTCAGGAGGAAATGTCGCTTTAAGTTCATCAAATGCTGCAGGTATATTTTCAGATGGAATAAAAGCCAGGGCAAGCATTTGTCTTATTTTTAAACTAAACTCTTCGTTTGTACCATATAAATTCACCAAGCCAGATGATTGAATTTTTCTCCAAGTACTTTGAGATAAATGAAAAAAACATGCCTTGTTTTTCACGTTAGGAAACTCAGCTTTTGATGCCTTTATTGCCGCCTGTTCAAAATCTGTCATTATCCAATATGGATTTAGTTGCCCGCCATTATCTTCGCAAAAATCAATTAAGTCTTGAAAAAGACGTATATACAGGGTTTCAGATTTTGATGACATTAAAGCATATGCTAGTGGCAAAACTCGAAAATTGTCTCCTCCTACAGGTGCGTGTATGGTATATAGCTGTCTAAATATTGTCGGGACTGTCCAAAACGTACCATCCATAATTAAATAACGAGCATGCGACAGCCGTTGAACATTATTTTTAGTACAAAATAGTAGAAGTTTTTCATCATTAATGGTTGAATCTTTAATTAAAAATAACTCCACGCCAATTGTAGTTCTCAGTGAATCGGGAATTGTTAGATCTTCTAATGATTGAGGTTGCGATGGCGTATTTTCCCTTCTAACACGCTTTATTTGTTGCCGTAGAGCATTTCTATTCGGCATGTATGGATGAGCAGNTTTTATTTAATTGTATTATCTATGAAGTATTACCTAATTTTTACCTATGTTAAACCCCATAAAGTTTTACCCATTTTTAATGTTTTTATTACACAGTTTTATCTATTTTTTGTTTTAATTATAAAATATTTTTTAATTTATAATTGTTTGTTTTATACTTACAAGAATCCTATTTATTATTATAGAAAACTACTACTAAGTTACAAATTACAAAATATAAATACCTGTTGTAATAGGTACCTTATATTGAAAATGGTTAAGGTAATATGTTAAAGTTCTGAAGTAAAATACTGAGTACTGACCTAGAATAATGGATTGTGACCTTTTAAATAGACAGAATTTGATTAGAAAATAGATTATTAAATTATATCTCCTACTAATAAATGTAGTACCGGTATTTAATATATTATAAAATATTATAATATATAATATTAATAAATAATAACTATATGCTTTATAGTTTGGTAAAAGCCAATAGGTAACATTTTAATTTTGAACAACTAACAAGTGACGGTTCGAGATAATATTATATATAATAGATATTAGATAATGTTATCTTAGTTCATACTTCATATGGGGTTTGATGAAATGAACGATTGAACGAGCGAAAATTATATTATATTTACCATTTTGTCGTTTCGGTAAAAAGTTTTTCTCGAATGAACGAATGAACGATTTCGTTCGTCGTTTTGTCGTTTTACGTTCATTGGGTGAACGATTTCAGTGGTGAACGATGTCGTTCACCTTTTAGTGAACTAGGTCCAATCGTTCACTTGGGTGAATAGTTCAATTGAACTAGTTCGTTCGCGAACGACCCATCTCTACCCTCGAACCCTCCCCTTTTACAAATTGTAGATAATTAATCTTACCATAGAAATAAACCATAATCTTGTATAAAAAAAAACCCGAAGAAGTTGTTCATTATTACACGACGGTGCCACGTAAAATACGTGCACCGTTTCATCTTGTAACAATGATCCGTCCTCACAGACTATGCCAAAGACTCCTAATAATCACCGGGCCGCTTAAGCTTAGGACTTACGGTTAGTCAGTGGGGGTTTTTATTAAAATTTTGTTGGTGAGGCGCCTTATGTATTCCCCCTTCCCACCACGACTTAATAACAAAAAATAGACTTCAAAATAAACAGAATTTAAAAACATAAAAATAAACATAATTGTTTATATACATATATAATATATATATATATATATATATATATGTGTGTGTTCGCGCAAGTTGTCTATTATGATCGGCCACTGGTGCGGATGTTGTCACACGGTTTCCCCCTTGATCGAGAAAGCAGTCGTCGTTCGATCAGCTGGATCGAACGGCGTCTAGCCGGCGAGTCGGCCCGCCGTGTGCGCGTGTTGTTGTTGAGACACTTGACGAGATACGTCGTTGGTTGTATGTGTGTGTNATATGAATGTTATTTTATTTACTGAACAGATATATTGTAAATGTATACCTATATTTTCAGTACATCACCTACACCAACTTTTAAAAAAATCAAATTGTTCCCTAGATATACTAATGATTTATCTGTTGACAATTTTAAAACACCTAGAAGAACAGAAAGAAATTTATCATTTATTAAAAAAAGATACAAAGAAAAACTTAAAAAAATTCATAATTTACAAAAGAAAAACAAACGGCTTATAGCAAAAGTAAAAATATTAGAAGATTTAATGAGTGTTTTAGAAAAAAAAAAATCTTATATCCGAAAATGCTTCCACATTGTTACAAGTAAATTATATTAATTATTTATATTTGATTTATTAGTAGACATAAAATTAAGTCTAGCACATTATGTACTTATTTTACTATCTATATAGTAATTAGTTAGGAACTTACTGTTATTAGTAGACGTATAAAATTAAGTCTAACATTAGACTTAATTTTACACGTTTACTAATAAGTCAAATATGAATAATTAATATAATTTACTTGTAACAATGTAGAAGTATTTTTTTATATAAGATTATTTTTGTAAAACATTCATTAATTCTTTTAATGTTATCACTTTTGTTGTAAGTTGTTTGTTTTTCTTTTGTAAATTATGATTTTATTTAAGTTTTTCATTGTATCTCTTTTTAACAAATAATAAATTTCTATCTGTTCTTCTAGTTGTTTTAAAATTTTCAACAGATAAATCATTAATATATCTCGGGAACAATTTGATTTTTTTAGAAGTTGGTGTAGTTTGTGTTTAGTACGTAGACCTTATATTAGTTTAAGGTCTATGGTTTAGAAAATAAAATAGCATTCACATACTTACATCATAGTTTTATTTTGAATTTCTTCCTCTGGTAACACATGGTTTGATATATTAACAGGTAATTCTTAAATATTTTAATACAACATGCATCTAACCAAAGTCTTTTCAATACTTAATCTTTAGGAAATTTGTTTTAAACATGGTGATTGGTGGATAGATTAATAATTGTTATTAAACATTCAAAATTCTTAATTATAAAATAATTACTTGTGTAAAGAGACATCTGGATCCACCACGTAACAAATTTTATAAAAAATATGTTATACTAATACTAGTCAATAATCATACTACTTTGTATAATGTATATGGTATAATATGATATGTTAATTTATATAACCTTTTTAGTTTTTACTATACTTATGACTATTAATACTATTATATTTGTATTTGATTTATTAGTAGAAGTATAAAATTAAGTCTAATATATCTACTTTTATCATTATCTGTATAATAAACTTATGTCTAATAAAAATATGTTATACTAATACTAGTAAAATATAGTACTACTTAGTATAATGTTTATGGTATAATATGATGTGTTAATTTATATAACCTTTTCATAATACTTATAAAGTTATAACATAATATTGTACTGATATTTTTAGTCTATGGGTTCTGAAAGATTTTGTGAAATTATTGAAAGAAAATTGAATGGGAAAAAACTTGCATTTTCAAATGAATTAAAAAAATTTGCTGTTACTTTACAGTATTACTCAAGTAAAGCCTACAATTTTGTACGGAAACAATTTTTAAACGTTCTTCCGCATCCCAGAACATTAAATAAGTGGTATCATGTAATAAATGGGGAACTTGGTTTCACAAAAGAAACATTTAATACTTTAAAACTTAAAGTAGCAGAAAATAAAACTGTCATTGGAAATTTGGTATTAGATGAAATGTCTATGAAAGATAAAGTTGAATTTGATGGTAAGGCATTCCATGGACTGGTTGATATGGGATCTGGGACTGATTTAGATGGAGATAATGTCAATCATGCCACAAGTTCTCTTGTATTTTTAATCGTTGCAGTAAATGGTAATTGGAAACTCCCACTAGGGTATTTTTTAGGAAAGGGCTTAAATTCAAGTGAACTAGCAAATTTACTTTAAAAATGTTTAGAATTAATACATGATACTGGTGTAATAGTAAGTTCCATGACTTTTGATGGAGCACACACTAATTTAAGTATGTGCACTAAATTGGGAGCTAACCTAAATATAAATAACCCTCAATTTTTCTTTCCGCATCCTGTAACAAAAGAACCTGTGTTTTTATTTTATGATCCGTGTCATATGATTAAACTTATTTGTAATACATTAGGTGACAAAAAAGTATTAATCGGGGAAAATAATAACGAAATTAAATGGTATCATATTAAAAATCTTTATTATAAAGAAAAAAAAGAGGGATTAAAAGCAGCAACAAAATTAACCAAAAAACATATTTACCATTATAATGAAAAAATGAACGTAAAGCTTGCCTCACAAGTTCTCAGTAGTAGTGTAAGCTGTGCATTAACATTTTGTGAGACCTTAGACTCACAATTCGCTAATATAAAATCAATAGCAGAATTCTGTATGATTATGAATAATGCATTTGATATTTTAAACTGTCGCACCAAATATTCTAAATCTCCTTTCAATTTAGCACATAATTTGATGTGCTGCCTGACCACTTTTTGTTATATTTTTCCTCATTGACTTACGGAAATTGTCTCTTATATTGTTCCATCTAGTTTTACAAACTTGACCTAGGTATATAAAAATAACATAATGCAATAATTAGATACCTATATACAAAATGAAAATTCATAAATCGATGAGTATGCTTATGCAATTACCCAAACATAATATGATTAATATAATACGATTACTCAAACAAAATATTATACTTATATGTATAGTGCAGTGTTGTAAAGTACTTGAGCAAATGTATTTAGAATACTTTTGGTTTAAGTATTTGGAGCTATGGCGGAGCTATTTTATCGAAAATGAGGGTGATGAACACTTTGAAAAAAACATGTTGCTGAAATGCAACAAAACGATTCTAACCGGGGACGAGTTTTCAGTCTCGGTTATTTTATACAATACTAATTGTATTATTTTTTAAAAAAATGTAGGTACCTATAAAATAAATTCCAAATTAATCAAATTAGATTCATCATGTTACGTGGAACCTTGTTTAAAATTTTCAATCCTTAGCTATAAAGGTTAAACATTTTATAAATTTGTAAATTTTCAATTAAATAAATGTTATCCAACTTAAAATTTTAAATGGTTAAAAAAAAATGAGTGTTTATGTATTTTAAATATTTTCAAACTGCTATTATATTAACTTATTAGGAACCTTGTATTAAATTTTCAAGCTTTTCTACCCAACGAATAAAATATTATTGTCATTTATAAAAAAAAAAACTAAAAAAAAATTAAAAATTGAAAATGTCTATAATTTGAAAAGATTTGAAAATTTTATCATGTATAGAAAATGCCTGTTTTTAAAACACACATTATAGAAAATTAATACATTTAACTTTATCTTATTAGAATATATATAAAAAAAAATGTAACAACAATTT